ATGCATCGCCTATTTCACGGCGTTTGGAGAGATAATTTGTACAAAAAAGTTTCACTCCTCCTTTTTAGGTCGTATATCGATTCCGTTAAAGGAAGGAGTACATGTTGCCTGTCCTCCAGGATTTGACTGCCTGGGAAGTGTTTCTGTAAAAGAATCTCTAAAGTTTTCTTACCAGAGTCCATATAGGTGTTGTCGGGTCTTTTTATCGAGCCGACTTCCTGTCTCCGATCTTTGGCGAAAATCTTGTGAAGTCTGGTACTTGCAGGTAAATCTGATATACTCTAACAGAATTTCCTCCATGATTCTCGTTTGGCCTGTCTGATAGCCTTGTTGTACTCCGTTAGAAATTTGTTGTATTTTTACCAGCAGCCAAATTCTTTAGCTCGATTGAAGAGAAGTCGATCTCCTTTTCTTTTTTGGTCAAGGCTTCCTCTCCACCATGGAGTACCCCTCAGGTTTATTTAAGGAGGTTGGTGCCTCCCCTTTCTCCACCTGAGTTTTATTTCCGTTGAAGTTGGGTGATGCTAGTAAAGAATCCTTCATCTCCTCGGGAATGACGTTGGACGTTGTTTGATGGGGTTGAGGAAACCTCCAATCGGTTCATCGCCAGATTCCTGGCGGTCGAGGGGATTGTCCCCATCTTCATTGTTTTTTGTCTGTCTTCCATACAGATTCCACGAGTAGCTAGGGAAAGGGTGATCAACCACGGCAGAGCCCCGCATGCCGCAGCAAGGCCAGTTACTGCCGGAGGCTCCGTTCGAAGTGGTGCTCATGCAACCTCTCAGCACGGATCACGTGACACCTTTGTACTGGGAGGTTGGTCAGCGTCATCTTATTGGGTATTCAGTGATAACCTGCAGGATGAAATATCACTGCAGGCCGTTCGGTCATCCGCCATCTGCCGACGATATCAGTAGCCGCCCAAACTCTGAGTAATTCTAACATAACAAATATGACTCTTATGGCCAATAAATAAGACAATTTAATGCCTTCGCCATTACTCCGACTGTTAATCGAATGTTTTCCATCGCAGTCTGACGTGTAGAAAATAATTTCCAGAACTTCTAGACTGAACTTCTAGTCAGAGTTGGTTCTTTAAAGTGTCACATTTCTATATAAATTACGCGACTTGTCGACAGACGTTAAGTTTTAAATTAAGTGTTGAATAATAAAAACAAATTGTAATAAATAAATTAGAATTGCGAGTTATAATAGTGTATTAAATTAATAAGTACGTATAAATAAATTATATATAAAATGTTTTAATTAAATAAACTATAAATAAATTAAACAATCGTTGCAATATGCAAACATTAATCAGCTGTTATTAAAAAATACAACATAAGTCGGCATACAACATTTTGTCTCAAGACCAAAGAATAATTTTATATAAAATAGCTACCAATACCAGCTCTCCTACGTAACTTTTAAAATCACTACTGTTAAAGGAAGGGGAATACAGTATTTCCTGTGTGAGAAAAATTCATTTTTCTTTGTTGTTTCTTCTTTACGTGACAAAGAGGGTATAATAATAATCAAAATGTAAAAGAAGTAAACACTAATACTTTCGAAAACAAATGGAAAATCTTTACAACGAAATTTATTTCTGATGTTGAAACAATCAAAAAGATGTCCCAGATAACTTTCAAGAAGGCATAAAAGGCTTTATGAATAATTAATAGGAGTAGTTGTGTTAAAAATTCTTCCTTGATTTTAAGTGGCTTAGTTATACAGGGTGTACCAATAAAAACTCCCAGGCCGGATATGCCAGATCATAGAGCACTAAGAGACCTTCAGTTTTAGATATTAATTTTAAATAGGTCAATGTCAATATGTATATGGCGCTGAGCTCAATAATTTTTTTTTTTTTTTGATAGGTGGATCTTCCTTAAGTAGCGCATCTTGTAGAAAATGCATTTTTGTGCAAATTTTGTTTTATGAACTAATTCGATAAATCTAGCCATTTTCGATATACAGAGTGGGCCACTCGAAACAGTTTCATCCTGTTTTTTTGGCCTTATTCATTACATTTTAAGACAATATTAAAACAGGTTAATTTTTAATTAAAATTAAACATATTTTTACAATATGGACATCTGTCATGTGTCAATCCCCTCCCCTTAATTTTTTAAATAGGTAATGTACTATGCATGGCACATCATGAAAAAGGTAATTTAATGGGGGATTTAGAAATGTGACTAAATTGCGTTACTAAAATTTTAGCGCCCTCTAGCGGGATAAAAAACTTTTGCTTATTATAAAGTGTGACACTGCCATGTGTAGTACATCATTACGAAGGTAATTTTATGTAGAATGTAAAAATATGACTGTCTATTGGGATACTTTATAAAGTGTGATACTTCATTGAAAAGTAAATTTAATTACTAATTTAATGCACCACATAGCATTAATATAAATATCCTCCATATTGCACTGGCAAACGTTGGAAAATTAGTCATGCATTATTTTTAACATTATTGTTTTTATACAGTTGCAAGTGCAATATGAAAATATTTATATTAATACTATGTAGTGCATTAAATTAGTAATTAAATTAGCTTACAATTAAAGTGTCACACTTTATAACGTTAGTTTTTTTATTCCGATAGAGGGTACTAAAATTAAAAGTATCACAATAAACAGTCATATTTTTGAATCGCCCATAAAATTACCGTCTCAATGATGTGCCATATATAGAACATTTCTTATTTAAAATTAAGGGGTTGTAGAAGTGGAAGGAAGGAGGTTGACACATCACAGATGTCTGTATTGTAAAAAAGGGTTTAATTTGGATTAAAAATGGACCTGTTATAGAATTATTTTCCTAAAATGTAATGAATAATGCCAAATAACAGGGTGAAACTGTTTTAAGTGGCCCACTCTGTATATAAAAAATGGCTAGATTTATCGAGTTAGTTCATAGAACAAAATCTGCCTAAAAATCCATTTTTTACAAGATGCGCTACATAAGAAAGATCCTTTTATAAAAAAAAATATTGAGCGCAGTGCTATCTACATATTGACCTATTTAAAATTAATTTATATCTTAAACTGAAGCTCTGTGAATTGACTTCTACAGAATTCAAATATCTCTATTTCTTAAAAAAATATCCGCCCTGGTAGTTTTTATTGGTACATCCTGTATACCGCCTTTAAATTTACTGGTAGGTACTAATAATGCAGAATTCACGTTGTTATAAAAATTTCTGACAACCAACTGTTATTATATGCAAGAAAACCAAATTTACAGTAAAATCAAACAGTTGTTGTACTCAAAGAGAGAACCTAATTCCCCATTGTTTACAAAACTGCGTTAAAAACAATAAGCCCATAGGCTAGACTAAACAAAAAAAAAATAATTTAACACCGGCCGTCCAACTGTGGACAATATAAAGTTGGATTCTTTTTTTAACCGACTTCAAAAAAGGAGAAGGTTCTCAATTCGTCGCGATATTTTTTCTTTATGTATGTTCATTGATAACGAACTTTATTTTTAAGATTTCTTAATTTTCGTAACAAGAAGCTATTCCAGCAAATATTGCAGGCTTGCTTCGAGGACGGAACTTCTTAAAGCCGCAATAATAATTGAATTCCCAGCTTTGTAACGAATACCGTCTTAAGAGTTCTAAAGCTACGTAAGCGAAGCAAATCTAGCAAATATCTTAGGTTTATTCCGCTGACTTAACTTCAGACAAGCAGTGAAATTTTAATTCTGTGAGAACCGTCGACCACTAGGGACTCAATTCTCGAGTTTTATTCCCATGGGAAAATAAAATTTTCCCATGGGAATTCAGTTTTCGTATTCTCGACATAAGCGGTGGAATATTTTCCAATGAGAAGTATGGGAAAATATTCCCCTGATTACGAGCATTGGAAATTGTGTTTTCCAATGGGAATTGTACTAGAGTTTGCGCATTAAAGTCGAAAATTTGACGAAAGTCTAGATGACATAACCAAAGATTATTGGATATCTTGGATTTTTGGTGAAATTGTAGTTAAAACATTTTTTGGCATATTTACAGATTGATATTATTTTATTTATGTAGGTATATATTATTTTTACTTCTCTTTCACTAAGAAATTGTATGAACTGATTTTCTTAAATCAGTCAGAAATTGTGGGAGCTGCTAAGGGACTGGCAAATAACACAAATTGAGAAATTTTTAGTAAATTTAATAAGAATTTCTTAGTTTCTCGAAACTTTCGTTGCTCTTCCATACAAAAGCTACTTTTTCTTTTTTCAACATGTTAAAAGAAAAACTGGGAATAACTCAACAAGTTTTAATTATACATAATCGAATATTTTTACTTGTTACTCGGTCATGCTAGGGATTGCTCGGCACGACACCTGCTCCAGCGTGGAGGCTCGGCAGGTAACCGGTTACCCAAAAACCATAATAAATACAAATAATGCCAACAGTAAATTTGAAAATATCTTTAATGTTATTGGTTGTTTTGAAATATTCGTGGACTTAATATCAGACATACGTGAAACTACTATTTCCATGGGAATGTCTATTCCGACAAGTTCGAGAATTGCATAACCTATTACCATGGGAATATAAGTAGTGGAATCTTTTCCCATAGGAAAATTTTCCAATGAACTCGAGAATCAAGCCCCAGGTAGCTCCTTTTTCCGCCACTGTTAGGACTAAAATTTTAGTAGTAGTCGTCTGCGCATAAAATATGGGCCGGATTTATTTTTGATATTTTAGTAGACTCGGAACGTAATAGAGAATGTCAAATGTCAAATGTCAAATGTCAAATGTCAAATGTCAAATGTCAAATGTCAAATGTCAAATGTCAAATGTCAAATGTCAAATGTCAAATGTCAAATGTCAAATGTCAAATGTCAAATGTCAAATGTCAAATGTCAAAAATATGTACATGACGGTTGGAAAGTTATGTGTCAAGAAATAGGCAAAATTATAATAAGATATCCACTAATTTTAGTAAAATATTACGCAGTACACCGGACAAAATAATTGGCTTTTTTTTAGTATCAGAACCGCCTTATGGTTTAAGTTACATGTGGACAGAAAACAACGAATTTTGTATTTATTGGTTCCATCCGAATAACACAAATGGATTACTAAGAAGTTTTGAAATATTTAACAATGAACACACTTTTAAAAAAAAATATTCAATTAAATCAGAGAATGAATATGAACTTCAGTACAAAGGCCAGTATAAGGTATTTTTACATTTTTTTATTAACTATATTAGGAACTAATTTGTATATTCGCATAGTTTTTACTTCTTCAATAAACATTCCATTCATGGAAGCAGTTTTAATAGTGAACTTTTTATTGATGGTTTTACGAAAAATCTTATTCCCTATAAAAATCTCTGCTTGTCTTCAAATTTCCAAAATTCACTAATTTTTTTCCAATACTTCGTTATACAGCTATATTATACATGTTAGTCAGAATTTACCATTTACAATTTTGATTAAATAAAAAACGCCATAATAGTTATTTATGTATCAAGGGCGTAAAACAAGCTTTTATGGACCGTGTAAGAGCCCGAGCCGCTAGGCGAGGGCACTAAAGATCCCTAAACTCCGTTTACGCCCGAACTACATACAAAATTTTATGCATGACCATTTTAATGATAATTTATTAACACTAATTAACATTAGTGCGTAATTGTAAAATATTTCAATTTGTGTTATAGACACGTAAAACAGTTTTAAATAAAAGTTATATGGATTAAAAAGATACATATTTTTAAACTATTTTTGGACATACAGGGTTGAGTTTTTGCCTGGAAAATAAAAATTTATGTTTTTTAAATAGAACACTCTGTATTTTATTTTTAGAATGTTTTGGTAACACTGTATTCAACCCTAAAACGTTTAAAAAAATATTACAGGTATGCCAAGCAATTAATTTTTTTTTTTTGAAATTAGAGAATAATACAGACCCCAAATTAAATTATCATAATTTAGGTAAGTTTACATTGATTTCAAAATTGTATAAAATACAGACTTATAAGCTACTTAGCTAACAAATAGTTGTTATTGAACTGGTTTATTTTATACAGAGTGTTGTGAAACATGGCTTAAATATGGCAAAATTTAAGTTCAATTTATTCAATTTTTTTCAAATGCAATACCCTATATGCTATTTTAGGACAATATTCCCCATAAATATACCTATCCAACGATACCAATAACACATATACAGGGTGTCCCATCAGTGAGTAATTGATCGATAGCTGTTTTATTTTTGGAAATATATGAAAGTTGTATGACCATGGTTAATAAATAGTCTTAAATCAACAGGGTGGTCCATAAACGAGGGGCTAACCAAACTTATACATTTTTAAAGCAAAACACCCTGTAGGTAGTCATACATATTTGATTATTTGATTGTTTTCACATCGTTAAATAATTTTAATAAACTTCATTTATTTGCTATCTTGTATATAGGGTGTGCCAAAATGCAGGATAATTTTTTAAATGGAATATCTATACCATCAATTAATTAATACAGGGTATTCCATTTATAAAATAAAAAAATCGTAACCTCACGTTCTGATACACCTTATATAAAACATAGCAAATTAAAATTGTTTGACGATGTGAAAAGAGTCAAATATGTATAAACTACCTGCAGGATGTTTCGCTTTAAAAAAATATAGATTTGGTCAGCACCTCGTTTTTGGATCACCCTGTATATGTAAGAATAATTGTTAAATATGGTCATACAACTTTTATATTAAAAATTTCTAATAATAAAACAGCTATCGATCAATTACGCACTGATAGGACACCCTGTATATGTGTTATTGACTAACATATTGGTATCGTTATTTGAAACTTTTATGGGTATCTACAACACAATTTTAAATATTGAACAATTACGCACTAATGGGACAACCTGTAGAAAATTTTATGTACGACCGTTTTAATGATCAATTATTAATAAATAACTGTTATTTTCTCTTTTTCGCCTTTTGTGAGCAGTTTATTATAAAAGAAATTTGTCGCGTCAAAGTAGGTTTCCACTTCGAACTTTGGTCGGAAAGGTCCAATCGGGCTAATTTTTTTTGCAAAATGTTCATTGAGACATGGGATTCAAAGTTCACTAAAATCTAGATGCCGCTCGGCCTCCCTCCCCCCAAATTCACCCCAATTGGGGGGAATTCTCGGCTTTTTTCAACAAAAGGCGCATACTTCATAAAACTACAGTCACAAGCGGGGTAAATGTTCCACTCGGGGGTTTTAAAGTACCCTGAATCCATTATTTGGGTCAGGTCGCCTTTGCGACCTTCCCAGGGGTGTTTGACAGGGCCACTGGGAGTCCAATATACTATATGTCCGCGGAAATGTATTTGGGCTCCCAAATTGCGCTAGGGGAGTTTAGAAGGGCGGAGATCTCAATGTCATCGAGAATTAAGCCTTTTCAAGCCCTCAGGGTCAGGGTCTAAACCCCCCTGACGCAACTTGGCAGCCCAAACACATTTCCACGGACATCTCATATTTTGGACTCCCAGACGACATGTCACATACCCCTGGGAAGGTCGCAAAGGCGACCTAACCCAAATAATGGATTCAGGGCACTTCAAACCCCCCGAGTGGAACATTTGCCCCGCTTGGGACTGCAGCTTTAGAAAGTATGTGGCTTGTTGAAAAAAGCCGAGAATTCCCCCCAATTGGGGTGAATTTGGGGCGGGAGGGAGGCCAAGCGGCATCTAGATTTTGGTGAACTTTGAATCTCATGTCTCAATGGACATTTTGCAGAAAAAAATAGCCCAATCAGACCTTTCCGACCAAAGTTCGAAGTTTCTGCGTTTTTAGTCCTACTTTAACGCGACTAAATTTCGCGGGTTGAAAAGTAGTTCGCGGGCGGTAAAGTCCACGGGCGATAAAGGGGCACTTTATCATAGATTAAAAATACGTTTAGTAAGCACTAAACGTATTTTTAATCTATCGTCCGGTCGTGCATAAAGTAAATTTTTTGATTCTAGGTATCTACGCTTTACTGTTAAAACTAATTACTTTTAAAATTAAGATTTTATACTTTTCTTCAAATTTTTCCAATACGGTCCATTTTAGAGAAATCATATATGCAATAAAAATTATATAGAATGATATCGCAAATAACATTTATTTAAACAATTTGCTTAAAAATTAGATTTCTACAATTTTTGTCAAATTTGTCTAAAATGGTCCATATTCACGGAAAATTATGTAAAGGACAAAATTCATGAAGCAACAACATTACAAGCAACTTTTATTTAAATAATCTTCCTCTCCAAGCATTAATAACATATATAATCTATATAAATTATGATTCCTATACCTACTTTCCTTATCTGCATACAGACAGGAAATTAAAAATAACTAATATTGTAGAACACTAAAGTATGTGGCAAAAGGTTTCACAATAATTTTCTCAAAATTTAACAAGAACCCATAATAACAACACACCTATGGGTTCTCAGTATTGCAATCTGGCCAACGAAAAAAAATTTTTTTTTTATTTTTTTTTTTCTTCTGGTCGTCTACATTAACTAAAGAACGGAAGGTCCGATCAGCTTGCGATTTTAATTTTCTTTATTGACTTTCACAAATTTCAGTTCAACCTAATATCTTTAATTATCAATGTTTCTAAAATCTAATGCTATTCTTAAGGAGCCTATTTTATTTATTCCAACGGTGAAGTCAGACCTTAGATATAGACTTTGGAATCGAGATAATTTTTAAATTTGACAGATATCTAGAAAAATATGGCAACAAGTGTTTCTGCTTTTCAGTGACATTGTCGTAAAAGAATGTAGAAAACGACATTTGATTTCTTATTTACGCATGACAATCTACGGATTTCTCTCATTTTAACGAAAAACGATTTTCTTGCGTCAACGAGTAGTTTCTTATTTTGTTTTAAATTAGCCATCAGTATGTTACTAAATTTGATTTTAAAACTGCGTATTGGGTAGGATATATACATGTAAATATTTTTGGGATAAATAGAAGCAATAATGTATTTCAAAAAACTTTTTTTTACTTATTAATTAATTATTTAATAATAATAATAATAATAATATAATAATATAATAATATAATAATATAATAATATAATAATATAATAATATAATAATATAATAATATAATAATATAATAATATAATAATATAATAATATAATAATATAATAATATAATAATATAATAATATAATAATATAATAATATAATAATATAATAATATAATAATATAATAATATAATAATATAATAATATAATAATATAATAATATAATAATATAATAATATAATAATATAATAATATAATAATACAATAATGTGCGTGCGTGCGTGTGTGTGTTTGCGGATGGGCGTGCATCTGTGTGTGTGGATATGTGGGTGTGTGAGTGTGTGCGTGCTTGTTTGCATATGTGCGGGTGTGGGGGTGTGCGGGTGTTTATGCGTGCGTTCGCAGATGTGCGTGCGTGTGTGGGTATGTGGGGGTATGCGAGTGTGCGTAAGCATGTGCAGGCGTTTATGCGTGCGTGCGGGTGGGCTGGTGGATGGGTGAAAGGGTTTGCGGGTGTTCGTGCATGCGTTCGCAGATGTGCGTTCGTGCATGCGTACCTGTGTGAGTACGTTCGTGCTTGTGGCTATGTGCAGATTGTGCGTATGTGGGTGTGTGAATGTGTGTCTGCTTGCGTATGTGCGTGCGTGTGAGCGTGTATGTGAGTATACGGGTATTCTTGCGTGCTTTTGCAGGTGTGCGTGCGTGTGCGTGTGTGGGTGTGCGTGCATGTGCGTGTGTGCGCGTGTGCTTTTGTGGGTGGGTGCGTGCGGGCTTACGTTCGTACATGCGTGCGTACGTGCTTGCGAGCGTGCGTGCGGGTATTTGTGTGTGTGTATGTGTGTGTCTATGTGTGTGTGTATGTGTGTGTCTATGTGTGTGTCTATGTGTGTGTCTATGTGTGTGTCTATGTGTGTGTCTATGTGTGTGTCTATGTGTGTGTCTGTGTGTGTCTATGTGTGTGTCTATGTGTGTGTCTATGTGTGTGTCTATGTGTGTGTCTATGTGTGTGTCTATGTGTGTGTCTATGTGTGTGTCTGTGTGTATGTGTGTATGTGTATCTCTGTGTCTGTGTGTCTGTGTGTCTGTGTGTCTGTGTGTCTGTGTGTCTGTGTGTCTGTGTGTCTGTGTGTCTGTGTGTCTGTGTGTCTGTGTGTCTGTGTGTCTGTGTGCCTGTGTGTCTGTGTGTCTGTGTGTCTGTGTGTCTGTGTGTCTGTGTGTCTGTGTGTCTGTGTGTCTGTGTGTCTGTGTGTCTGTGTGTCTGTGTGTCTGTGTGTCTGTGTGTCTGTGTGTCTGTGTGTCTGTGTGTCTGTGTGTCTGTGTGTCTGTGTGTCTGTGTGTCTGTGTGTCTGTGTGTCTGTGTGTCTGTGTGTCTGTGTGTCTGTGTGTCTGTGTGTCTGTGTGTCTGTGTGTCTGTGTGTCTGTGTGTCTGTGTGTCTGTGTGTCTGTGTGTCTGTGTGTCTGTGTGTCTGTGTGTCTGTGTGTCTGTGTGTCTGTGTGTCTGTGTGTCTGTGTGTCTGTGTGTCTGTGTGTCTGTGTGTCTGTGTGTCTGTGTGTCTGTGTGTCTGTGTGTCTGTGTGTCTGTGTGTCTGTGTGTCTGTGTGTCTGTGTGTCTGTGTGTCTGTGTGTCTGTGTGTCTGTGTGTCTGTGTGTCTGTGTGTCTGTGTGTCTGTGTGTCTGTGTGTCTGTGTGTCTGTGTGTCTGTGTGTCTGTGTGTCTGTGTGTCTGTGTGTCTGTGTGTCTGTGTGTCTGTGTGTCTGTGTGTCTGTGTGTCTGTGTGTCTGTGTGTCTGTGTGTCTGTGTGTCTGTGTGTCTGTGTGTCTGTGTGTCTGTGTGTCTGTGTGTCTGTGTGTCTGTGTGTCTGTGTGTCTGTGTGTCTGTGTGTCTGTGTGTCTGTGTGTCTGTGTGTCTGTGTGTCTGTGTGTCTGTGTGTCTGTGTGTCTGTGTGTCTGTGTGTCTGTGTGTCTGTGTGCCTGTGTGTCTGTATGTCTGTATGTCTGTGTGTCTGTGTGTTTGTGTGTTTGTGTGTCTGTGTGTCTGTGTGTCTGTGTGTCTGTGTGTCTGTGTGTCTGTGTGTCTGTGTGTCTGTGTGTCTGTGTGTCTGTGTGTCTGTGTGTCTGTGTGTCTGTGTGTCTTTGTGTCTGTGTGTCTGTGTGTCTGTGTGTCTGTGTGTCTGTGTGTCTTTGTGTCTGTGTGTCTGTGTGTCTGTGTGTCTGTGTGTCTGTGTGTCTGTGTGTCTGTGTGTCTGTGTGTCTGTGTGTCTGTGTGTCTGTGTGTCTGTGTGTCTGTGTGTCTGTGTGTCTGTGTGTCTGTGTGTCTGTGTGTCTGTGTGTCTGTGTGTCTGTGTGTCTGTGTGTCTGTGTGTCTGTGTGTCTGTGTGTCTGTGTGTCTGTGTGTCTGTGTGTCTGTGTGTCTGTGTGTCTGTGTGTCTGTGTGTCTGTGTGTCTGTGTGTCTGTGTGTCTGTGTGTCTGTGTGTCTGTGTGTCTGTGTGTCTGTGTGTCTGTGTGTCTGTGTGTCTGTGTGTCTGTGTGTCTGTGTGTCTGTGTGTCTGTGTGTCTGTGTGTCTGTGTGTCTGTGTGTCTGTGTGTCTGTGTGTCTGCGTGTCTGCGTGTCTGCGTGTCTGCGTGTCTGCGTGTCTGCGTGTCTGCGTGTCTGCGTGTCTGCGTGTCTGCGTGTCTGCGTGTCTGCGTGTCTGCGTGTCTGCGTGACTGCGTGTCTGCGTGTCTGCGTGTCTGCGTGTCTGCGTATCTGCGTGTCTGCGTGTCTGCGTGTCTGCGTGTCTGCGTGTCTGCGTGTCTGCGTGTCTGCGTGTCTGTGGATCTGTGTGTCTGTGTGTCTGTGTGTGTGTGTGTCTGTCTGTGTGTGTGTCTGTGTGCGTGTCATTTTTATATTTTATGGTATTTACGTTCGAAGAAGGAAATTCTTTTGTTTCATACATGATTTTTATAACATGGACCGTAATGGAAAAATTTGAGGAAAAGAGTAAACTTAAAATTTTTGAGTATTTTCGTTGGCAATGATTATATGTAAAAAAATATTTTGAGTAAGATGGATGTGGAACATGTATACAGGGTGTCCCATCTTTTATTAGACAGGCTGTAACTTTTATAATAATTATCAGAATTAAATCAAATTTACAAGGGTGCTACAATGACATGTTTGCTATCTAATGAGCGTTTTTTGGAATATCAAGAACTTCCGGTCATACCGGAAGTGACCATCAATTTTGTTTTTTTAAATAGGTCACACTGTATATTTCAACAATTCTCCAATAAATTCTACACATTTTTTATGTACTATGTCCTATACCTATCTCTAACCGTTTCTGATAATTTGGAGGTTACATTTATTAGTGTCTTGACTGAAAATGAAAATAGTACAATTTAATAAATTTTTTCTACACCCGTATTATAATAATGCACTTATATGCCCAAAATCCGTTTCATAATGATACCCATTATGATACAGATTTTTCATTATGATACAGATTTTCATATCAATAGAAACCTACAATTTTTCAATCAAGCATGATGTTTGACGTTTGTCCTAAATTCCTATGTAATTGTTTTAGTTGTCAAAACGTATTAAATTTTCGTAGATAGCTAAACTTCGATAATTATAATATTAAAATGTCTGATATCAGCGATATAGAAGACTCCTCCACACATATCGGAGAAAGGAGAAAATGCAGTACAAAATATTTTGCCCCAAAAATCTGTGGTAATACCAATACCCAAGGTAATACCATTAATTACAATTTTGTCGAATTTTTTATAGAAGTACGAGTAATTACTGTTATTGTGTTCAATGCCAATATAAATAGAATATTTATAGGTCTTGATTATTTATCGGGTGTAGAAAAAATAGCGTATGCAACTCTCATGTAATGGTTATTAAAACACTCGCATAAACCATACGAAACTCGCCTTTGGCTCGTTTCGTATCCCGGTTAATGCTCGTGTATTAATAACCATCATTACATGATCGTTGCATAATATACTATTACGGACATTTAATAACAAAAAATCTAACATTATATGAACATTTGAAGTACCTTCTTACTGTCTCAAGAAAAGCCTGAAACTTCTTTAGTAGTTTCCTCGTTACACATTGTGTTTATGTATGTTTTGTTTTGTCAAACTTTCCGTGTCATTCTGCATCGCTGTTGACAACTAATTGGTTATTTTAAGTGGTAACGACTCAAAGTAGAATGCCGTTTACTTTCACACCCAATGAATGTGTTGATATATTACTTTTCTACGGTGAGTATCAAAAAAATGGGTGTCATGCAAGAAGAGTGCATCAACAACGGTTTCCCGATTATAGGACACCTGCAGCGTATACTTTTTCCTTGATTGAGTCAAAAATGCGAACTGGTTCTTTTCCGAATTTGATAAAATATTCCCATCATGAGGCACCTGTAAGAAATGAAGAAATTTCGATAAACGTATTGGCTTATGCAAATGTTAATCCAAAAGTTTCCGTTAGAGAAATTTCTCTAGAAATGGGAATTAGCAAAATTACTGTACACAGGAACCTCAAATCAGAAAAATACCATCCCTATAAAATATTTCTTGTTCAAGCACTTCGCCTCACCGACTACGAGCGAAGGTTGCAATTTATATCTCTTGTGCAAGTTATCCTTTTTGAGGATCCTACGTTTTTGGAGAAAATCTTATGAGGTGATGAATCAAGGTTTTACAACAATGGAATGGTAAATCGCCACAATTATCACTACTGGTCAATACAAAATCCACATTGTGTCAGAGAAACTCGTTTCCACACAGTGTGGGACATCAATATTTGGTGCGGGCTATTTAACGGGCGTCTAATAGGTCCCTATTTTTTTAATGGCACGTTAAATGGGGTAAGGTATTTATATTTTCTTCAAAATTGTCTTACCCGGCTGTTAGAAGACATCCCGCTTAGCGACCGCGTAACCATGTTCTGGCTACAGGACGGTGCCCCACCACACAATAATAGAATTCTCACAAATTACCTGGATATGAGATTTCCCAATAAATGGATTGGAAACAAGGGACCTATAAGGTGGCCAGCGCGTTCTCCTGATTTAACCCCTTTAGATTTTTTTTATGGTCTATACAACCCAACCAACTGATTTAAATGATCTTAGAAATAAAATAAGAGGAGCATGCCATAGTATTACTCCCGAGATGATAAGAGCATCGTGTACAAAGGAACTCCTAGAACGATTTCAAGCTTGTGTTGAAGAGGACGGAAGACAGTTCGAACATTTATTATAATAATGTATTTTATTTTATAACAATCAATAAACTGTACTATTTTTACATTTTATTTTCGAACAAGAATCATAAGTTAGTGTAACCACCAAATTATCAGAAACGGTTAAAGATAGGTATAGGACATATTACATGAAAAATGTGTAGAATTGATTAGAGAATTTAGAATTGTTATGGTCACTTCCGGTATGACCGGAATTTTTGGATATTGGAAAACACGCTCATCAGATAGCCCACAAGTCATTGTAGCTCTGGTCTGAATTTCATTTAATTGTGATAATTATTATCAAAGTTACAGCCTGTCTAATAAAAGCTGGGATATTTAGGTATATTTAGGTTATCTTATCAACATTTACAGAGGTTGTATAAGATAACCGGAAAAAGCCTGTAATAACTAGTTGGGAAAGTCATATGTTGGATACATCAGATTTTTATTATAATGTTTTACTTTTAACTAACGCATCAGGTCTTTGTACGCGGGCGTCGATACCTTAGGATCGGCTCTGAATCTATTATTATAATGAACCCTTACTAATTCTAGAGATATTTTATAACAAGGAGTATATAGAAATTTTACAATAAACGCACCACAAACATTTTTTTTAATAATAGTTAAATATGTAAGTGAATTTATTAAATTATACCAAGCTGTTAACTACGGTATATTAAAGAAGTAACTAATACAATAATATCCATGGAAAAACATTTTATTAATATATTTATTTTTTTATAGATTGAAACATGGTTTATGCCTTGTGACACATGGGACTTATATATCATAGCTCATAACGTAGACACAGCGAGTAACTCGGCATTCATGACGATAAAAAATCCGCCGAATTTACCTCCGAATAATTTTAAAACTTCTAAATTTACGTCTACTAATGATACAATTTCTCTAGACATAATATTTCCAGATCCAGTTAATTTTATCCTAATACTCGTGTCCAAATCTGACAAAATGGATGATTTACAATTCTTTGAAGATGGCTTGCGAAATAATGAAGTTAGACTAAATAATTTGAATTTCTCAAAAATTGTTTACCAAGACAGCGGATTATATTCTGTTATATTTGAAATTGGCAATGAGAATAGTACTTCCCAAAATTGGACAAACCCGCCATTGTCCTCCGCTACCAACTACAGCATAGATGTGTTTCTTATTAATACTTGTAATACGATGACAAGAGTGAAGCGACTGCAAAAATTTATTATTACCAAAGGTGATCCCAATTTAATAAATGATAGCGAGATATTAAATAATGGAGAGAAACAGAATGACGGAGAAAACATAGACAATGGAGGTTTATGGGCTTTGGTACTATTAGTACTAATTATTCCATTGGTCTTATATGGAATTTGGTAAGAAATTAAAAGTCATTCTCAATCATGACCCTCTATTTTATCGGTATGGAAATTTTATAAATATGAAGTAAAAAAAATATTTCTAAAGAACATGAAAAAACCACGTATTTACAATCCTTCTTCTTTTTTAAGTGACAGTTTAGAATGGTGTGTGCGGTTATCACGGAATGACGCATACATCTATTTTTGTTAGTCATGGCTTAGTTTAGGAAAAATTTTTCTTTGATACACCTTGTTATACATTAATAGTGTAACTACTGTTCTTTATTTACCAACTTCAGCTACTGTTCCTTTTCCGATATTATCCTTTAATGCCTTTTAAATAATCTTGTTAGGTGATCTAGTGCCTTCCAGTCCTGACCTTCTCACTTCATAAACCTCTCAATGTTTGTCTTCTTATAATGTTTATTTACATATTACACTGAATACTGTTCTACTGTAGTAAAGGCTAAGTTTTATTTCAACTCACGTATTATACAGTATCGTCTTTTGAACGTACGGTATATTACATAAGAGATACGGATAATCTTCTTACTTATATTTCTTTTTATTTTGGATGGTATCAGAAGTACTGCTTTAATTCGATAATAGAAGGCACGTTCTCCAAAAAATGGAAAAGCATCTTTTTAGGTTTCCGTACCCGAAGGGTAACCAACGAGACCCAATTACTAATCCTCCGCTGTCCGTCCGTCTGTCAGCGAGATGTGTCTCATGATCCGTAGTAGGTAGACAGTTGAAATTTTCACAGAATGTGTATTACTATTGCCGCTATAACAACAAATAATAAAAATAAAATATAAATTTAAAATTAAAGCGGGTACCACTACCAGAATCGTGTATATTGGTACGGAACCCTTCATGCGCGAGTCCGACTTGCACTTGGTTGGTTTTTTATTTCAAAATTCTTTTTCTCATAACTGCTTTGTAAATAAAATAATAATTTATTAATGGAATAAGAAAATAAAATGAGTGGACGAATCTTTTGTACAGAATCCATCGCCTTTATTTTCTCTCTCAGTTGCAATAATTTAATATTGGTTTCTTCGTCAGTTCGTCATCATTACGCATTCAAAAACTGTCGTAATACATGCGCGGAAAAACCGTTTTTTATTGAGGAATGGTCGATAATTTTCATTAAAACTTTTTCAATACTAGTAAAAAATACGAATATATTTTCTAGTTGTTATGATTAACAGCTTAGTAATGTTGAGTTTCAGTTAGTTCAGTCGTTTGGTAGTTGTTCCTGGAAAGTTTTCCGGGAGTTTTGAAAATGAGTAATTTTATAGATTTTAATATGTGATTTTTTTTTTGAATTTCAACTTTGTCACCTCGTACCTTTTTTACCATATTGGAAAAGTGGTGCCTAGGAGCAGTTTTTTGAAATTCGACTCCTCTTATGATAAAAAGATTTATTTACAAAATTAAACTAAAGAAAATTTCCTACAATTTATGTAATAACCTTTTTTCGCAAAATCAATCATTTTGGTGTACGAGAGCCTCAAACTGTAGTTTAACACGCAATTTGACCAAAAAAATCAATTTCACTCCACCTTAAGGTAGAGTAAGCGGCGATTTTTTTTGTCGTGTTATCCTCAGTAGGATTAATCCACATACTATTACAAAATTTAGTGCATACTCCTCCGCTTCGTTGTTCCTGATGGATCAGGTGTTGCGAGTTCATTATCTTTAGTATTGATCGAAACGTCACAGACCCAAATTTCTTCTTCATCATCCGCAATGGAATTATTAGTTTCATCGCAATTGTCTTTGTTCTCGTTTTCATCATACTTTTACTTAAAAATAGAATCATCCATTTCTTCCTCTTCATCGCTCTTTTGTAACGGAGTTGCACAAGTAACATTACAATTCGTGCATATAACAGAGCACTTTAACCTAGCCATTCTGCATCCAGAGACTTTCTGACTTTTTTTTAGCATTTGCAAGAAATACGTTTTACCTTGCTTTCCAGAGCTAGTTGCTGAATGTGTTGACAGGAATTAGGCCGTTCTTGTTTCTTTACTATCGTCATTGCTCTGCATTTTGTTGATTTTTATAGCAATGCTGAACCTAGTGAGAGGTTCGGAATGAATATTGGTGCTGCTGCTGTTACTTATATTGGTGGTAACAATGCATTATTAAATTTAGTTTTATATGCTGATGTTGTGAAGCATGCATCCCATCGCGCATGATGTGTGAAAAAATTTCGATTCGAGACGTTTCGATCGGTACTGAAGGCAATGAACTCGCAACACCTGGTCTATCAAGAACAGCGAAGCGAAGGAGAATGTGATAAATTTTGGAATAGTGAATAGTATGTGGATTAGGCTTATGTTTAAAAAAAAGCGCCGCTTACTCCTCCTCAAGGTGGTGTGGAAATGAGTTTTCGGCCAAAACGCGTGTTAAGTACACTTTGCTATTGATTTTACGAAAATAAGAATATTTTATAAATTGTAGAAAATTAGTTATAGTTTAATTTTGTATATAAATGTTTTAATCGTAAAATAAGCCGAAAAAGTGTTGGAAACTATCCAACACAATGCAAATCTAGGGAATTATATAATTTACCATTGGCAATTAGAACTAGTGATAGTTAGGCTAGTAACTTATTTCCTGCTAGTCACATATTTCCAGTTAGTGACGTTATTCATATTTTCCGCCATGTACAACTACATCAAGTAGTAACAAAAAACGAGGCAGGTAGAATTTGTCATGTTGTTATGTCATTAATTTATATATCTGAAAGCTTTGTAAATCAGAACACTATTTGTAAATAAACCACTTAAAATTAAAACTATTTTATTTATGTAGTGTTATCTACATAAAAGTGGTCCTTCGAGCCGGATGTTAAACCAGAAAAATAGATCTATGGAACATTAAAATAGTGTAAAATGTGTAAAGTGTACAGTCTGAAAAAATCAAAGAAAAGGCAGTAAGTCAAAAACTATTTTTATAACCCCAATCGTCTCCATTTTCACGTGCTTACAAAGAAGTTATTCAGTTGGGTTGCCTTGCCGTTTGGTTACAAGTTATAATATGAAGTACGAGGCAGTTTCAACAGAGGGCAGCATGGTGGTGAAGCACGCTGCAGTGAGTCGTTTTTAGGTGGCGTGCAGAGTGTGTACTATCCTTGGGCGTGCAGACGTCATTTAAGGTTTATATATTTAGAATTAAATACCTGGCCTGGCTGTCACCCAGACAATACAAATATGTCCATTGGACGTCCATTCGATATACAATTTTGGATGTTTAGACGTCCAAAAATTAGTTTTTTTCTGGACTTCCGACATCCAAAGGACGTCCAGTGAAGTATAAAAATGGTACATTTTTGATCATTTAGAGGACGTCCAATTCTGGAATATATTTGGACGTCGAATACTGGACATTCAAAAAACGTCCAGGATTATATTTCCATTGAGACCACATCCCCACTTTTTTTACAGAACTGTAACTTACCACACACTATTTTATAATAATTTGTATATTATTTTCGCAAACCGCCATACACCATTTTTTTTATTATTATTATTAAAAATCGCTTGACCTGAGCAGGTATCGAACTCACGACACATCCATTATCGTTTTACGTTATCAATTGCTAGACGAGATCGACCAAGGAACTACTTGAAAACTTTTTACTAGATACAGTTATAATTGAATAAGATTTCAAACTTCCGCTGATAAAATCAAATGCAATAGATTCAATTTGTCAATTTTTAATGACCAGTTATATTAAAAAAAGAAGTATATATAGATGGGTATTATCTGGTAGGCTTAATAAATAATAACCTAATATGGACGTCAACTGGACGTCAAAATACTACCAAACTTAAAATAAGTCCAAAAATAGACGTTCTCTGGGTATCGATATTCAGCTGTCAATTTAATTAGCATAAACGGACGTACACTGGATGCCCGGATATGGACGTCCTGACCCTCAAATAGATCTACAGTGGACGTACATTGGACTATGTGTGCTGTCTGGGCATAGACGAATTTTTAGAAATAGTACTTATTTAAGTATGCACCAATATTTCTAAAATCAACTCTAGTATGATTCATTCAATAAATGTAAATATAAATGGGCAAAACATCTTTATATTGACATAATTGTAACTTACAATTTAGCCATAATAAAGGGATTTCGCCCAATTTGACCAATCCTAATTGAAACACGCGGATTTATTATATTTTTTAAAATATAATTTCAAAATAAAATAAACAAAATCTGCAGTGCATTGTTTATTAAATTTATTTAAAAGAAGAAAAACATATATTTCACAAAATACAATACCTACATAAGAAAAATAAAATGTCAAAGATGATTAAATCATTATACTTAATATTTATGCATGTGATAAAATTCTTAGTTTCCTAATAACTTTTTGGGCACATTTTATATCTGTATTAGAATACCTAAGTGTGTAAAAATCTTCATCTTATTACTACACAAAACAAATACTAAAAAATATCACTTAACATTGCTCACGTACTAAACACAACTTGGACTGACTTTGACAGATAACAACATTTTGAGTGATACACAACTTATTTTCGCATATGCGCGTTACAAAACGGTATACTAAAAACACCAAGCTGTTGCTTCTCCTTGATCGGTATTCTCGGATTCAACTACATCAAGTAACAAAAAACGAGGCAGGTAGAATTTGTCATGTTGTTATGTCATTAATTTATATATCTGAAAGCTTTGTTAATTAGAACACTATTTGTAAATAAACCATTTAAAATTAAAACCATTTTATTTATGTAGTGTTATCTACAAAGGAAATATTGTTAAAAAAACTGCTTTTAGGCGCCATTTTTTCAATATGGCTGGGCCAGCGGCAAAGATACGAGGTGAAAAATAAAAATTCGGAAAGAGCAAATCAAAATCTATAAAATTACCCATTTTCAAAATTCCCGGTGAAGAGCTTTGCTGATAAAAAGATAAAGACGAAGACTATCAGATACTGGAATTGCGGTAAACTGGGAAATGTACGCAGTTCGTTCAAACGCCCTAGAGCAGGAGTCGGCAAACCGCGGCTCGCGAGCCACATGCGGCTCTTTGGTCTTTTAAGTGTGGTTCTTTCACAAACTACAACGTGCGAGCTCACACTACAGTACATTTAAAACTTCGTGCTGGCTGCTTTTCTTATTTCTATTTTTTTCATACTTAGTTGGTGTTTATGTGTCTTTATCAAGTACTCTGAAGCAACTTATTAAAAAAAAATTTATCGTACAATATATTACTCCTGAGCGCGTATCCCCGCAAGAAAGACTAGAATTATAGTTAAAATCTGCACCCCTTTTTTGTTTCCATTTTGAATTACTTTCCAAGCCTGTTAAAATTGTGATATTGTCATTTTCTATTTCAAAACAACACTTTTAAATATGATACAATTTAATTTTATCAACAATTAAAATCGTTATTAAGGATGATATAAAGTTTTATTCAACGCATCTATAATTATTTAACTAAGACTTAAAAGTTTAAAGTTTATTAAGTTAATTTTAAGAAAGCATTGTGGAGTGAAAATGAAGATATGGTTTTAAATATTGAGAAAGGTAAGTCGAGATAGTTTGAATGTGAAGGTTTGGACAAAATAATACGAGCCATAGGGTGAAGATACGCCCATCTCTATTAAGTGCAGGCAATTATTCGTAAAACGTCGATCATCATAATCAGCGTTGCCAGCGCTATTACGTTCGTAACATATCTATTACTAAAGGCAATTATTTATTACGCTATTACGCCGCTCAGATTACGTTTTTGCTATATGCCTCTAATTAAAAAAATCTCAAAAAATGGATTCAAATTAACCAAAGAAGCGAAAATTTGTACCCCTGTACGTGCTATTCTGGTTTTGCAGCTTGCACCATAACTCTAATTACGCTGTCGTTTTTAAAAACTGGAGCCACTACCACACCATTGATCCTAACCTCACTTTTAAAAATTTGACGGTTTTGTTTTTGTTTATTTGATGTGTAATGTGTATTATGATTTGTGTTCTGTCGTTTATCTTCTATCTTCATTGATCTAAATTTCTTGTTTTATGGTGCATTTGTTTTTCAAGAATACAAAAATTATGTTGAGCAAGTAAGTAAACTTATCATATCTCAACATTACTTGAAGCTATTTATTATTTTTGTGCAAGTTTTTTCATGTGATGACTTTGTAGTTCCTATTTCTTTTAGTTACCTGTTACTTCTGGTTCTAGTTCTAGTTTCTAGTAATTCTAGTTAAGTATATGTTACACAAAATCTTTATTATATTTCGTAATGTTGTAATGAGGAAGTTTTTCTCTTTAAAATAATGTTGTTTTTTTTGTTGTTTTATATTTGTTTTTTTGTTAGTTTCTTTTCCAAGAATATTTGTTCTTATTTTTTTTTTTTGAAATAAAATGTAAGCAGGAGCAGATCTTCTGAGTTTTATTTCTTCTGCAAATTTATGTTTATTTGAAAAAACTTCGACTGTAAACTTGGCCAGTAACGACATCTATATCAATTTTACGTAACAACCATGATCGTAATCCTCTACGTTCCATTATTTTATGACAAGAGTGACAAGTAATAATAAATATAATTTATAATATTTATATAATTCCATTAGTTGTATTTATTAGACTAACCTCTACTAAAAAAAAGCAACAGCTGATGCACCTTGTTCATTTAAATAATAATTTCTCAGAAAACTCCACAAAAAATAGTCTATTACGAAAAATCCTAATCTGTTACGAAAATTCCACAGAATTTAGTACGAAAAATCAGACGCTGCTGGCAACGCTGATCATAATCAACGCGATGAACATATCGTCGCCCTTATCACGAAGTGACCTAACCAACAAAATTAAAAAAATATTTTTTTGTGCTGATTCACTAGTCTTGACCTTCTTTATCATCTCACGAAGTGTTACATCTATAACCCTAATAGTGCATGCAATACAGCATATTATTTCTGTGTCCTATCTGCATGATGAGGGCGACGATATATTATTATTATTATTTTCTTTTTTCTATCCATTTCTTTAGTTTTATTGTATTTTGTGTCATGTAGTGTTGACTAATAAATTAAAAACAAAAAACTTTTGTTTGATGATTATTATTACTATTATTCAAAAACGTTCATTTTTATTCTTAGAATACTCATGTCACTAAATTGAAAAGAAAGCGATTTAAAAAGCAATAAGAGCTTGGTAATTAAATTGAGAAAAAATAATCGAAAATGATTTCAAGTCCGTTTTGAGTAATTGATGCTTGGTAACTAAATTGTTGTGCAATTACTTTACTTAGTAATTGGTAACTCCAACGTACTTGATGCTTGATGCTGTTAATTACTTTTCCAAAAGGATTGGTGCTTGGTGCTCGAAGCACTTTTTTCAAATGCTTTGTCTAGCTCTGCTTTTTAATAAAAAAATCTATTTCGGTTGTTTATTTTGATTTGCTCAAAAAACTACTTAACTTGGCCTGGTTATACATTATACATTAATTGGCTTTAATAATAGACTAGACACGTCATCAAGAGCATCCCGTCCATTGCTGTTGGATTGGTCGTTTACCACCGTTGTTATTATTCAACCAACAACAAAACCAATTTATATGTTGCATTTATTTATTAATTATATAATTTACCATTTAATTTAAATTTAATGCATTAACATATATTTTACCAAGGTAGGTTATTTTTCGTATAAACTTTATTAAAATGTCCCCCATAAGAATTGGTCGTAGCCATCGAGAATAAAGTAGAGACGACATAGACACTATTTTTGTAATATGACAGATGGACGCACTTCGAGTGATGGCTACTTGATTTATTGGAAGCCAATAATTTTATATTTAAAGATTGATGCAACGTAAATGTTTTTATATAATTTAAATGAAACTTTTTTTAAAAATGGTATTTATTCTCATCAAAACTAACTAGCTCCACTACCTTGGGTTTAACATATGACATAGAAGTGTAATGCAAAGTTGCAGACACTTTTACGATCGTCATATTCCTCTTTATTATATTTCAATGGTCGTAGCAAAATAGCTTTTGCGCTGTGTACTTTAGTATAAAATATATGTAATTAAATATACTTGGTCAAAAGGATAATGACTTACCTTGCCTTAAATCAGGTAGGGTCCAATTACAATAAGAATAACACAACTGCGTTCATATTTGGCAAAGTAATTAATTGGGTATCGCCGCCTACTGTGGTTAACATTATAGTAATATAGGAAATGTTTTTTATTCCTACCAACTCACTTATTCTTTATTGATAGTTATAGATATTATGTATTCGAAATTCGAAATAATGGTTATGACGTAACGTTGTTCTTCTTATTGTAACCAGATTCTAGCAGGTAAATTGTTTGAAACCAATTGTTTGAATTCAATTATTCATAACATTAACTATTTGAAAAGCAGTTATTTGAAAGTCAATTGTTTAAAATTATTTATTTGAATAAAACAATATTATTTAACCAAAAACTTTAATTATGCGCTATTCCTCTAAGCTCTAAGGTATTCCTACAATGGTGGTTTCATCAAAATTTTTTAGAATACCTAGTATTGTTTGTGACTATTTTCTTTTTGAGGTGCTTCTGCTATGTATTGCTTCATTTTTAAATTGTTTTTGAATGTTCTCTTTTAATAGCGTCATTAAAGCTTCAGTTACAATGATGGCTATCTAATATCTGGATTTTGAAGCTTTTGTATACATCCTTTCGGCGTTATTAACCCTGTGGTAAAAATGACGGATTATCTCATAAACGATGCAACACTGCACGAATACACAGTTTTTCTGTAAACTCGTGCAGTGTTGCATCGTTCATGAGGTAATCCACTACCTCTAGCAGCATCGAAACATTTCCAAGTAATATAGTTTGTTGACTTTTAGGGGGTCGTTGTCTGTCTCTTCTGTCTAAACGACCTATCCTTCGAAATAATCAATAACCGATAGGGCTTCATCTGGAAGCAGATCTGTATCTTGCAAATTGTTGAATGTATATTTAACAAATTTACCTAGAAAAAATGCAAAAGCATTTGGCATCCTTATATTCAGAAAAAAATTTGCGTCTGTGTCATATAGATTTTTCAGACCGAATGATTGGAATTTTCTATACAGACACTGGCAGATATGAAAGAAATATCTTGTGATTTTTGGAAGTGTATTGCACAATGCATTCATTAAATTTTGTAAAACTTTTTATTGATTTTAAACAATTGACATTCGAATAATTGTTTTGACTGATTTCTTTTTAAATAATTTCTTTTCGAATAATTGATTTCAACTAATTACCTAGATCCCTTAAAGCAAACGAATTCTACATATTTATTTATTAATTTTCTTTTTTAAGGTATGTCAAGAAGAATAATATAAAATTAAATGAAGTTATACCAGGTAAGCATTTTTAAATCCATGAAGATAAAAATGTGACAGATACTTTTGTAGCAAATTTGAAAGTAAACACCAAAGTTTACTGAATCATGTCATCTAAATAACAAATTTTTGCTAGAGGTTTTGTCAAATTGTTTATAATTATTTCACATGTTTATCAAAACTATTTTATATACAAAACAGGTTGAACAGTTGCTAAAACGAGAAATGGTTAACATGCGTCGGGAGCAGATTATCTTTAAAACTATCGAAATACAGCGACTATGTGTGGTCAATTTTAGTAAACTTTATTATTTATATTCATCATAAAAAGAAATCAAGAGAAGGTAAATCTGGTGACCTACGAGGTCATTTAATTGATTCCCTTCGGCCAATCCTTTGTCCAAGTATGGCGTATCCACATATATCATTCTATTTTGGAACAACTGATTTAATTCGGGTAGCAAGAAATTTTGCAGAAATTCTAAATATCTGGAATCTATTAAGGTTTAGTTAAAAAAATATAGTCCTATAATCCTATAAGGTATCTATTACTCCCGTCCATCATTCAATTTACTCTGGTATTGAGTATGTATTTTTCATAGTCCAATGCCGACATGTCTGACGCTTTTCATGACCGTTTAGAAGAAATGTATATTTATCCGAAGAAAAAAAAATTGAATCTTTCCATCATAATTTAGCAAACTTCAATTCGCCTATCGCAATTATTGTCTTTCAAAATCATCTGAACTAAAGTAAATTTATAGACATGACGCTTTTTTACAATTTTAAGTACCGTTTAATATTTTATACCTATTAAAATATAATGGCTACTTGACTGGAATGGGATTCTGCTGTTTGTCTTTTTACTATCTTTATTCTTACGTGGCCTTTTCTCAATTTCTTTTAAATTTTGCGATATTTAAGGGTACATGGGAAGAAGGGGATTTGCCACAAAAAAATCGAAATTTTGGTTTTCACGCCATCTTACATAGAAAATCTTAAGCCTTACGTTAGAGTGTAGAGAAAAATACGTTGGGTCATAAATTATAAAGATTTAAACCGAAAGATAAATCATTGGGAAAAGTTTGTACACTAGTACACATTGTACCCCAAATTGTACACAAATAGTAACAAACATTACACAAATTGTACATAAAAAGTATACAAATAAATCTGTTAAAATTAAGTCGTTTGTGTATTCCTTAATTACGTCCACTGCATTGTGGGCAACCCTACAAAATTAGTATAAACTAATACATCAAATAGTGCAAAATAGTACACAAATTGTACACATATGTAAACAAATAGTACATATTTATACGTACTACACAAATAGTACGTATACTATACATATGCAAATAGTACACGAAGTACACATATAGTACACAAAGTAGACACCATAGTACACAAACAATTTACCCTTCGATTTAAACACAGGTTTTATAGAGGAAAAACACCCGGTTCCCATGAGGTACTAGACAAGAAAAAGGAATGTCAACTACTTACCTCAAAACTTATAAACAGTAAACAGGTACTAGTTATCATTGCTGTATTGTCTGATTGTGTTAATTATATAGTCATTAATTTTTAATAATTATTAATAAAAGTTATTGCAAAATGTTTTGAAAATGGAAAATAAACCAAAACATTATGACAAAAGAATTATATGACAGGTGAGGAAAAAAAAAGAAAAAAGTGCTAAAATATGAACGAGAAAATTAACCTTTAATGTCATACAACTGACGATAATTGACACTGTGAAGGGCTAAACTGTTATCTGTTTTCTGTAGAACGTACAACTTTTTTTAGGTCAGCTATAAAACTGTCAAAAGACTGTCCCTCTTTTTGATCTATGCTATTAATTTAAATCACTCTAAAATAAACTTTTTATTAGGAGCACAATACAGATTAAATTTGTTCATCATAGCTTGGAGTGTGTTTCCGCTAGCTGGTAGACCGACGGTGTTATATAATTCTAACACTCCTACTAATTAAGTAGTACTGCTACTTTTTTATCTGGTTTGCTGTGTAGATCTGTAGCTGTCATGAAAACTTCAAATTTTTGTTGAAACCTATGCTAAGTTTCGGCCATATTTCCATTTAAAACTAGGGGATCTGGCGGTCTAAAATAGTTTTCCATTATCTCGCTTTGTAGTACAACTAGGTAATTGATTTACACCTGACACCTTGTAAAATCTATACCAGCAAGCTATTAAATATAGCACTAATGTGTATTTTATGTATTTTTTTAAATACTTAAACTACAACTTTTTAGCATGAAGCATGAACAACGGATCTAAACTATAACCACTGACATATGACTGTACGCTATGGATAACGTTACATTACCGTACTTATTAACATATTATACATTCATGGTTCCAAAACCATGTAAAAAACTGCAATAGAGGTATATGAGTCTAGAACCAGGCACTCTGAAAGTTTTGGTAACTCCCTAAGTATCTTCCATATGAAAATTCAAGTGTATCCAGTTTAACATCGAGAGAAACTATCAGAGACAAGTAATTATCGTCATGTCCGGTGACCAAGCAGCCCTCAAAATGCTGGACTCTTACGTAACCAGCTTAAAAATGGTCTGAAGATGCCTAGAAAAACAGAATAAGATAGGCGAGGAAAATAAAGTTACTCTCACTCTCACTGTATCTGCCTGAGCAAGTCTAGGCTAAGTATTGTAACAGGTATCCTTACTAAGCATTGACGACTCAATGAACACTTCGGTAAACAGAGATTAGTAAAAGATAATAAGTACAGATTCTGTGAGGAGGACGACAAAGCCTCCATTTGTATTCTGATTAAGTGTGTAGCACTCCAGATTTCAAAGTGCACTATACTTAGAAGCATATCAAACAGAAGAAGGCGTCTACCTAACCTGAAATCACTTCAAATCCTACACTTTATGAAAGGGTCCTTATAGGCATCGACACATTTCTTTGTTGCATTAGCGGCAGTAGGCGGCACATTAGATCTTTTGTGTCACAGTGTATAATTACCCCATTCCCAACATAACATCCCGTAGTGCATTTAGATGCAATGAAAAGGGTGTCAAAGCAACATGTATCTATCAATTCGACAGATACTTTTATACATTTTTGTTAATATTTTTAACAGAAAGTTATTTAATACTTTCTTATATAAAATAGTAGTGTACCTAATCGAAGAAAAAAGTATTAAAATAAGTTTAAACCTTCTAACATAAAAAAATATGCTTTGCCAATTTACGTAAATATAGAATATGTTATAATATTTTATCTTTTTTATTTGGGTCTGAATAAACTCATTGTTGTTTATTTGATTTGCGGAAATTAAGGGGCCAAGTAACATATAACTTTCAAGAAGAGGAAGCACTTTGATGTTAATATTCCTTTCCTTTCTTTTCACATTATATCACTCTGTGTTTACCTATTTTCTCTTAGTCTGATGTCGTTCTCTTTTCTTTTTATAATTTTAGCTGTAAAACTTTTAACCATTTTCCAAGAATTATTGCATTGTGCCATCATTCGCATACCCTATGGATTTAACGTCACCGGGAACGTATATGCTCAATACTCGATTGTAGTAGACGTTCTATAGAATGAGGTCCATTACGGATTCTTGTGGTGCTTCATATGTAAAATACTCGTCTAGAAGCTAACAAGCTATAATGTTGTAGAGGTAGGGTTACATCTCTTTCCTTTTTAATTCATTAAGAATATCTTTCAATGGTGTCGAGTTAAAGGCATTTTGAACATCTATTAAAACCAGTAGACATAGTACTTTGATGTCGCTGGGGCTTGCCTCATCCACAGTACTTTTTATCTGACCTATGATGTATTTATTATGTTAACCTACTGGCATTTCCTGAAAAAAAAGTCACTGTAAGTTGAGTTTCTTGTTTATTTTTAAGAAAACTAATACCATCTTGTATTGTCTCTTTGCATATTTGTAAATAATTTGTTTACAGAAAAATGTGTTTTTTATATTTTAACGTTTAACTTCGGACTTTTCAAATCCACACAAATGTAATCTACAAATCCTAATAAAGAATAAAAACTACATTGGTATTACTATTATTTTACTACTGTTTTATTATTTTAATGTGTAATAAAAGAGTAATTTCAAAAGTAATATTTTAAACTACTGTGTGGACTATTTTCTCAGAATACTAATTCTTCTGCCATTCACCCCTTTAATTTAAATATTTACCTTTTAGAAGGCTATAAAACATACATGGTAGGATCTTAAACCTTTAAAAACGCTCTTTTTCAAATTTTACAGTTCTTGATTAACCTGCTTTTTCTCCTGTACTCTTCATTTTGGTAAAATTACTGAGGCCCTTCCTATGGGGCATCAGTATTGAATTCGTGCAGACGAAAAAATTTTCTTATCCCCATTTTTTTAACTTTTTTCACGTTCCAATCATTCTGAGTCCGAAAATGCAAAAAAAAATTCTTCTGGTCGTCTGTGTGTATGTATGCCGGCACGATAACTCGAGAAAGAAAGTTTTGATTGACTTGCGGTTTTGATTTTCTTAAATAATTGCTTCTAACTTAGAACCCTATTGATTTTCAGAATTGTCGGTCCATCCTAACTACTTTAATATTAATTTTCATAAAAGCCTCCCATGCATTTCTTATGTGACTAATTCTACGCATTGCAAGCATTTCTAACATCTAACATTCCTAACATTCCATACATTGCAAACATTCTCCAATGACCTGTCAAACAACAGATGTTGATTTTAAAGGCGAGATTTCTTAAAAAAAATCGACAAATCGAAAAATCGAAAAATCAAAAAATCGAAAAATCGAAAAATCGAAAAATCGAAAAATCGAAAAATCGAAAAATCGAAAAATCGAAAAATCGAAAAATCGAAAAATCGAAAAATCGAAAAATCGAAAAATCGAAAAATCGAAAAATCGAAAAATCGAAAAATCGAAAAATCGAAAAATCGAAAAATCGAAAAATCGAAAAATCGAAAAATCGAAAAATCGAAAAATTGAAAAATCGAAAAATCGAAAAATCGAAAAATCGAAAAATCGAAAAATCGAAAAATCGAAAAATCGAAAAATCGAAAAATCGAAAAATCGAAAAATCGAAAAATCGAAAAATCGAAAAATCGAAAAATCGAAAAATCGAAAAATCGAAAAATCGAAAAATCGAAAAATAGAAAAATCGAAAAATCGAAAAATCGAAAAATCGAAAAATCGAAAAATCAAAAAACCGAAAAATCGAAAAATCGAAAAATCGAAAAATCGAAAAATCGAAAAATCTAAAAATCGAAAAATCGAAAAATCGAAAAATCGAAAAATAGAAAAATAGAAAAATAAAAAAAAATGAAATAGGCAATGAAAAATCGAAAAATAGAAAAATAAAAAAAAAGAAATAGGCAATGAATAGTAAATGTTAAATGTGAATAACATTAACTCAATTAAGGTGATTACAGCACCCCCTTATAATTTTCAGACAAGGATATCTCAAAAAGTAATTTTTTTAAAAAATTAAATTTTTGGCAAAATATATTACGCAATAATATCTAAAATATGCATATATTTTAAAATTTTAATTCTTTCCAGTTTCCGAGAAAAAAAATCAAAGGGCTCTAAATTTTGAAATATCATAATGAAAATAAATGCATTCCTCAACAGCACTATTCTTATTATAATCTTCAAATTTAAGCTCTTAATCTTTTGTTAATGATTTTTTAAAATTCGCCGAAATTAGTGGCTAAAACGCCTCGTTAAGTGCTTCTTTCTAGTGTAACGCGTCTGTAACTATCGTTTCGTACACTCTGAGTCATCATTCGTTTCTTGCAACGATTTACACCAGTTTACACCAGTTACACCAGTTTACACCAGTTTAAACCAGAAAATAGCACTTAACGAGGCGTTTTAGCCACTAATTTCGGCGAATTTTTAAAAACCATTAGCAAGAGATTAAGAGCTTAAATTTGGGGATTGTGTTAAGAATATTGCTGTTGAGGAATGCATTTATTTTCATTATAATATTTCAAAATTTAAAACCCTTTGATTTTTTTCTCGGAAACTGAAAGAAATTAAAACTTTAAAAAATATGCATATTCTAGATATTATTGCCTTATTTATTTTGTCCAAATTTAAGTTTTCTAAAAAAATTACTTTTTGAGATATCCTTGTCCCAAAATTATAAGGGGGTGCTGTAATCACCTTAACTGACGCAAAAACTAATACAACAAAAATATAGAAAAAATATAAAATCTTTTTTATTTTCAGGTAGAAACCAGAAAGCTGATGAATTACCTTTAACAGAAAAGAGGACTATGGCATCTCCAAAAATTCATGTAGTAAAACCCAAAGCAACTATAGTATTGCCGGTAAATAGCTATTTGTGTATTAAGAGCGAAAAGTAATACTTTGTCGCTTGAAACAGAAATTTGGCCGCGCAACGCGTGCGGAGCGCGGCAATCTGTCGAAAGCGACAACGAACACACAAGATTTTTTTCTACGATCATATTATTTTAAGAAATTGATTATAAAAACTAAAAATTTGTCGTAGGTAGTGTATAATGTGTTACCTATATCTAAGTTAATTATGAAAAACGGAGTTGGTATTCAAAGTCAATGTTACCTTGGATAATAACACAAAATAACTTCAAACTGCGTACAAATAACTTGAAAATAATGTATTAAAACAAAATAATATTAATTATATCTAATTTAAAATAAGCGATAAAATAAACTGTCTAGTTTTCCGCTTGGAAAGAGACAAAGCTGTCACTTAAGGTAGTTCACTCGCGACAGTCGTACACAAAAATATCGCCCTATAGTGAATACCAACCGTTCGAGATTCTTAAACCTAAAGAAAGGTTATTTTTGTAACAGACTGCACACACAACACATGTGATCCTATATACAAATATGGTATTATATCGCGTAAAATCCATCCGGCAACGTCGCAAATGTATTGTGAAACGTCAACTGTATTCCTAAAGTAAAATAAATGTAAATATCAAAATGTTTCATTGTCAGAATCAATTAATTGCGAGATAAGGGAAAATTTATTAAGCAGAACGTCCGCAACAAACGCAAAAAATCAATTTTGGCTATAAATAATGCAAAAAAATTGAGAAATGAAACCCCAAGCTTGAAAAATAACCTGCGCAGTGGTCGCATCGTGGAATTACTAGAGTTGGGAAAACATTTAAAATGTTGCTGGTGTGAAAGAGTTCTTCCTCTTGAAAATATTACAAATGAAACACGAACAAAAAGTGAAGTTAAGCATTCAGATGTCAATACTAAAGCAGTTCTAGGTAAATTAAAAAAAAAATACATATATATTTGTTATGTTTATAATTTTTTTTATTATAATTAATATAATTTTATTTATTTAAAGGTGCTGTCCATTCAGGGTTTGGTCAAACTGCTTTAAATAAATTTCTTGCTGTCATGAACGTTCCTACGATATCATCAATACTACAGAAAATCATTACTTTTATTTGTATTTTTTATGACTAGTAAGTTAAAATTTTAAATTACCTACTTTATATTTATTTTTTTTGTGTAACTGTATTTTATTTTAAAGGCATGTTTAAATAAAATTATATTATTTTTTGGATATTTGTTTAATTTTGAAGACATGTTTAAATACAATTAAATTTAAATTGTTAAATCATATCAACCTAAAGTATAAACAACGTCCCTTCCCAGAAGGCATCGATAAAGTGATAAACTTGACCTGTCCGCGGCAATAAAAAGGTTGGGAACCACTGATCTAACAGACATTTGAATTAGCGTGCGTTGAGTGTATCGATTACAACGTTGCCAAGTTGTAATCACAATACGCCACTATGCGTCGGCTGCTTTAAGAACATTTTTATTTTAAAAATCTATATTTCTTTATTAAAACGGTAAAAAAATTCAGCGTTTTTTTAGAAAATTTTATAACTTCTTGATTTACATTACATTAGTTTTTAAAAAATATGGTAAGAACCGTTTTCGAGATATCTTGAAATAAATGCAATGATTGTGTACATGACAGGGTTTCAAGAGTGTTAATTATGCACATTTTGATTGTTAATATCTCGTTTTACAGACGGTCAAAATTTTTATTTTTTTTAGGTACATAAAAGACACTTTCATTAACCTCATATTTCAATTTTATTGAATTCTTAAGAAAGGCCGTTTTACGAGTGAACTATCTTAATGTTATTTCGCGGAAAACGGCAACTTTGCGGTTGTATTTCAAAGCGCAAAAGCCTACTTTGGATAGTGATCGTAGAAAAAAATATTTGTTCTACATAATCTACAATTAATTCAAATTCAGTTTTTAAAAAAAAATTATCATTTTGGATAAAAGAGTAGTTACTGTTTAATTGTTGTAGTTATAATAACGACTTGAATAATTTAATTACAATTTGTGAAGCTTTTTAGTATTTTAATTTTATTATTTTAGGCTCTTCAAACCAAACATTCCAAAAAAGTTCCGATAATTGATTTTGAAAATTACGTTAAAGAGTCAATAGAAAATGGCGAGCTGGAAAAACAACATAATGTGAGTATACAAATTTAAAGAAGAAAGTGAAAAGTTCCGAAAACTAGAAAATCTCTTTAATCTAAGGTATTAACAAAATATATTGATATTGAACAAAAACTTTTAGATGTTAAAACCTATTTTTCAAAGAGAAATTTATTTTCATCTGACAAACACACAAGGGCGTATCCAGCTCAAAACAAAAGGGGGGGGGGGTTTCTGAATTGTTTTAAGGGAAGGATAGTGCTAAAATAATATATAATACCAAAATGAATTCACCATTTATTGAAAAAAAAAAAAAATAATAATTGTTTAACAATAGTTTGTGTGGATTGTTTGCAATTCTTCTAATTGCATCCTCTACCAATTGCTCTTCGTTTGCAAAAACCCACTGACGATGAATACTAAGCATAGCTAATCCATTCAATCCATTTTCACTAAAAGTGCTCCTTAGCCATGTTTTGATTCTACGAAGAGAGCTAAACTAACGCTCAATAGTGCTAGTGGTACAAGGTTGCGAAAGAAATATAAGAAGAGCCTTTCGAATTGTCGGAAAAAAACATTTCAAAATCTCGGTGATGTCTGGTGTTTCCTGCACCTTATTCCACATTTTCCATAATTTAGCTTCTCCTTCAGTGCCCTTCAAATTAAAGAAACTTTCACAAGATTACGTGCTTTTTTCCATTCTTTCAATGAAACATCTTTCATGTTACTCGGATGAAAATGGGTTAATGAAAATGCAGGTGATTTGTCTGTGAAAAATCTTACTTGTAAAGATCCAATGATTGATTCAAAGTAAGGAGTTATGAGAGATCTTTTTCAAAAGTCGCATGAGTTTTGTCGCCCAACAGTACGAGCGACAATTATATCAACATTCAAAGGCTTTGCTTTATCGCCTGCTTCTTTTGAAATTTCAGTAGATACGTTCTCCGCATTCTTCCGATAATTTCTTAGCATTTCAACAATAGTTTAAATATGCTCGTTGGCTTTAACTATATCAAGTGTCTTCATTTGAAGTATATTTGCTACGGGTTCCAGAATGGCGAAATACTTAGCAATTAATAATACAATAAACGAAGATTTGCATGCTGCTGCGTGCATTTGATATGCACTTTTTCTTGTCGCTCCATTTCCCTCCTCAGCTAATGTCTCTAGTGCATCAAATAAATCGACAAAGTGTTTCTTAAAAACACGAATGTTTTTATATTTCTCTGACCATCTAGTTTAACAAAATTTAGGAATGTTTGCAATAAGTTTGCGTCGTAAAATAGACTAGCGGAAAAATTTATTTTTTTATTATCTCCTTGATAGTTACAACGCTATTTCGTATTTCCGGGATAACATTCAAGTCGTTCACGACAAGGTTAAGCTTGTTATGCAGTGGAAGTAGAAAGCTTTTTTATACTTTTGCCTCAAGATCGCTTGCACGCCCGCCTCTTTTCCAGACATGGTGGAACATCCATCAAAACCTAACCCCACACACTTTATCAGGATCTAGGTCAAAGTTTGTTACAAAATCATCAATGGCTTTGGCAATACTTACTAAATTAAGTCCTGCAGTTTCGTCAGCCAGGATGCTATAAACACAAGCTTTTTTATCATTTGAGATGATTTGTTCCTTTATTGAAGCGCCACAGAGATCAATTATTTCATTTTGAATGATAGGTGATCTGTATGATGCGTTTTTTGGTCCGTGCTAAAAATGGTGTCCTAATTGTGAATCACCTGCTTTGATGCATAAATGACACAAGTCTATAAGCACGCCCTCATCCAAATGTTTGCCTCTTAGAGCTAAATCATGTGTTTCGCAAAAATTATACATAAAACAATTGAGGACAGCACTTTTTGTTTTTAAATTGAATAATATATTTTATTTCATAGCTACTTTTCGTACTAGTAAACTTTAAAAAAAAATTTATAAAAAATTAAAAATGTTATATCAACTTTTATCTTAATTTAGTTTTTATAAGTTCGGGAAGGGGGGGCAGCTGCCCCCCCCCCCCTTAATCCTCCCTGGATACGCCTTTGCAAACACATGTTTCATGAGAAATATACAGCATAGCCAAAACTGTCATTATTTAATAAAATGGAATTAGAATCAGAGAATTTGATGTCGATTAAAATCACCCCAAATGTACACAAATAGCACCGGACATAAACAAAACAAGAAGGGAACTTGGAGTCCGTCCTTTGAAGTGTGACCTACAGAAGCGAGCCGCCATATTCGGAGTAAACAAGTCGCCGCGTGCAGTCTTGTCTATTTACGGGAGCACTTTGTTGGGCGACGCACAAGTTACTTCTCGAGCGACTGATATGGGGGTTAATAGAAATTAATTTTAGTATCGACAGAATTTAATTATTTATTAAACTGTTCAACATAATTTTTCATTTTGTTACAATAAGGCAATGAATGTTATTAGTTCCTTTGAATACAAAATAATAGAAACAAAAAGTATTAGAAAAATCAAAACTGAGTATCTAGTAACCATAGAGCTGGTCTGCAAGAAAGAAAGGAGCCAAGAATCAATCGCGCTTGTAACCGAATAACATACTATTTAGTGGTATACGAATGGTTCCAAAAGCATAGAAGAAACTAGGCCTAGAACCAAGCATTCCGAAAGCTTTGGAAAATACCCAAGCATCTTTCAGGTGGAAATGTAGAGATACCTAGAAAAATTGAATGAGCTAGTCGACAAAAATAGAGTTATTCTCACTTAAGTTTCGGGACACAACGGGGTACACGGCAAAGAGATTGCAGATAGTCTCGCAAGGAGAGAGGCTTAAACACCCTTTGTGGAACCTAAGCCGTTCTGAGGTATAAGCAGTAACATAATATTAGAAGAGATTAAAAAATAATTGGGCAGTAGAAGTACGGATAATTAGAACGATCTCTTGGGGCTAAGACAGGCTAAAATACTTCTGGGTAAATATAACCAGAAAAGATGATAAGCCTACATCTGCTTGAGCAAGAACAGGCTACGTATTGTTACAGGGATCCATTCAAAATTTTTTTCACTGTTGAATAGAGAATAAAACCCCCTTTCAAATGAGCAATCACTCACCATGTCATCCAAATTTTTCGAAAGGGTTGCTCCCCTCCAGTAAGGGATGAAATTAAGGGTAAACTATTCATACATAAATGTACATTGTAAAAATCAAAAATCGACGTATCTCGGCGATTTTTCTAACAAGACCCAGTAACGAGTTATATAGGGGGGTAAGACTTATGATGCTCACTGTATGTAAATCTCCCCGTAGGAATAATGCTTTGGAAATAACGTTACCAATCAACCACAGTAATAATTGTTTTCAATCAATCAATCAATATATGTTTATTGTCAAAGCTACAAGAACTTATAGAAAAACACTTATAAATATAATTATTATGTAGTACTAACAATTACATGCATAAAAATTTAAAAATTGTATAAAAACGTTAAATATAAAATTAGAGGTTAATTACAAATGCAAATACGTAACACAACATCAATAAAATTATATAAATACAAAAACATGTACGTTCAAACAGTCACAACGATTTAAGAGTCATTGTAAAATTCCGTCAAAGCATAATATGCTTTTGTCATCAACATATCTCTAAGCAGTATTTTAAATTTTGTGACCGTTTCCGTCGATTTAATATCATTTGGCAACTTATTGTACATTTTAATCCCATTATAAATGAAAGAGCCCCTTACCAGTTCAGATTTGGGTATGGGCAACCGCAGGTTGTCAACTTGTCGCGTTAGCCGAGCGTTAGTATTGGCATAGTTCGATTTATTTTTATGTATAATACAAGTGGTTTCAAGAATGAACAACGATGTTAATGTTAAAATTTCATGTCTAATAAAATGTGGCTGACATGACTCAAGCTTGTTCATTCCACATAAAAATCGTATTGCTCTCTTTTGCAGACAAAAAACAGTATTGAATAATTCGCGGCTGCAACCTCCCCAAAATGCAATTCCATATCTCAAATGGGACTCAACTAGGGCGTAATACACACTTTTTGTTGCCTTAAAACCTAGTTCTTTTGCCACAGTTCTGACTGCAAAACATCCAGAAGAAAGTTTTCTGTTTAGCAATTCTATATGGTTTCTAAATTTCAAATTATTATCTAAATTAATTCCCAGAAATTTTATTGTGTCAGTACATTCAATAATATGACTTCCCAACTGAATATTTGGTAGGGAACATTTAAGGGTTAGCATTTTAGTTTTTCCCATATTAAGACGCAAATAGTTGGCATCGCACCATGCTTTGATTTTCTTAATGTCACAGGATATGGTGTTGTATAGGACAGAAGTGTCATTGCTATGCCATAAAATCGTGGTATCATCTGCAAATAGATTGAAAGTACCTGCAATTTCAAGTTGAGCTAAGTCATTCACATAAAGGAGAAATAAAATAGGACCTAACACAGAACCCTGAGGGACACCCCAACTAATATCTAAAACTTGAGAATCCTGAGACGCTCTTACCATTTGCTTACGTTCTGAAAGATAAGATTTTACCCAACTCAGCGCTCCGTTTTTGATCCCGTAAACTCGAAGTTTATCCAACAGTACTGTATGATTGACGCAATCAAATGCCTTAGTTAAATCACAGAATATCGCTGCTACAGAATCGTCAACATTAATTCTAGAATAAGCATGTTCAAGATAAGAAAATATTGCATCAGAAGTACTTTTGTTCCTTTGAAAGCCAAACTGTTGTATTTCCAGCAATTTGTGAGTTTCTAGATCAAACGTTTTTTTACAACTTTTTCAATAATTTTGGCCACTGTAGGCCTAAAGTTCGAAGGATCGTAGTTACTGCCGCCTTTATGTATGGGAACAATAACGCTGGTCTTAAGAAATGACGGAAAATTTGATTCGACGGAACTTTGGTTGATCAGACTAGCAAGGACTAACATTGCTGATTCAGGAAGGTTTAGGATAACTCTAATAGAAATATCATCATAACCAGCAGCATTTTTGTTTTTAATATCTGAACATATTTCCATTATTTCAAAACATGTT